TTTAAATAATAAACTCAAAATTTAGATCCAGATGGGAGATTTCCCTTTGAATATAAATAAATGAGAGTATAACGGATGCATGGACAACTAATATTGTTGTGCTATGAATTACATATATATATATATATATATATATGTGTGTGTCGAGGTCGAAAAATCTCTCCACTTAAAAAATATGTATCATCTTTGCGATACCAGAAAGCCCTACATGTTACGATGTGCTCAGCAAATACAAAAGACATGGAAATTACATGACTTAGCATGGGCTAAGAAATTATATGTACATTTATAATGAATCAAAATCTGAGATTAAAATTAGAGTAGCAAATATAACCTTTATTTGAATACGAATAAAAAAGATCCAGAAAAAAAATATGTACCTTGCATTAAATATGGACAATATCCTCAAGACCTTACTCACAAATGGATAAGAATTGGCCAGCACCTTCAGACTAGAGCCATCAATGCTGAGCACAAGAATAGGAAATTTGACATTTTTAATTACAGAAATATGGAAAAGCATTGCTATTTCTCAATTTAAAAAATATAAAGTAAAATAAGTCCGAAAAAGAGGATAAGAACAATTTTGGCCTGATTACTTAAGAAATAAATTACCTTCGTCGTACATCTTTCAGATAGTTATATCTCAGGCACTCCTTCAGCAACCTTGAAGTCACTACATCAAAGTTATTTATTCAAACTTCCTTTTTAGGTTGAAGCTGAAGCAATGAACCAAGAATTTGGTCGTCAGCATATAGAGTAAAAATGTGCCACAAACTATAAAACTTCATACAAGCTTTGCTTAAGGGTAAGTAAGAGGAAAATAAATGCAAACATTTAATTACAACCCACTAAAATGGCTTCACAGAGGAGGAATAAAGAGCAGCATCTTTGAGTATCATATGATCGTTACAATTAATGGATAAGATGGATCAAGTAGAAGAAACAAACGCGTCTATTCTGAAAATTTGTGAATAAAAACATGCCCCTCTCATATAGACGCTTCAATAGTTTATAAAGCGAATGCAAAAGGATGCATAGGATCATGGAAGGATGTAGTGGCTAATGATGCAACCTATTCGACAGTCTCTTGGCGCACAGAGCTGGAGAAGACAGTGAAGAAAAGAACAAAAAGAGAGACTCCCGCAAAGAGACCAAACATAAGAAGTAGCTCCGCGGCATACCGACGTTCCCTGGATTCCAGAATAAGCCAATCACGGCTATTGATTGTAGGTATGTTCACAAGGCCAGTAGGCACATAATCAGGACCTGGGGGGCCAGGGCCAGAAGGAAGCATCGACATATTAGTCTGATGTTGCTGCTGCAAAGGAAGGTTGTTCAAATGATGCCGTTTGGCCCAAATTGGGTTAGGCAGATCCACCTCTTCCTCACCATACCCATTTCCCCTGGTATTCAGACCCATATTAAAAAGGCTTTCTCCGAGATCAGTCTCTTCAGCTGCTATATCCTCTGCTAAATTGGTGGAAAGAGTAATTTCTGACAGGTCCTGATGAGGCTCTCCTAAGCCGAACGAATGCAGAGCCACATCCGTTGTTAGTTGACGTAGTTGGTCTGCTTGCCAATTAGATAAATGGGCTGAAGGTGATGAGCAAAGGTCGGCCTGACTGGATGCAGAAGCATTTCTGAAAAAGGCGAAAAGACAATCAGTGCCAATAAATCGGCTGATGTCGGTAGATTAGTAATAAAGATGAGCGCAAACTAAAGTGTTGGTTTGACATCATTTTCGCAATATAGCCCGTTCTGTGTCCTCTGTCATACTATCCATGATAATTTTCAGAGTTGGAACGTTGAATTGGTACATCCCAAGGTGTTTCGCAGGCAATGTCAGTGAGAGGCGCCATCCTTAGCATGGAGTTACAATTTATCATATTTAATAAACATATCAGTAAAAACAATAACAAGAACACGGCGGCCCTAAATCACTTAAGGTAAGTTGGAGGAAAAACAACCAGTACAAGCTATAAAAGGAAATAAGGCTCCACTATTAAATCCG